ATATGTGTAAATGTTTTCAGATTTTGGTTGGATTCTAGTGTAGAACATTTCAAGTATCTTTTGCCTAGATTCGAGATCTCCAAATACTTCACGTAGAATATTTATAATTTTGTCGACTGAGTCTGTCTCTGATCTTGGTCTTAGCCTAATCATTCCATCATTAGTTACAATGATCATGTTATGGCAAACTTTTATACCTACGTGACTATGTCACAGACTTAAAACCTTGCATGTGGTGGTTGATTTGTCAGAAATATCCCAAATGTCAAAGCCAGTGTAAAACTATGATGCAATTGGTATGTAACTCCCATGTATTAAATACGAACAACTTCAACGGTTCAAAACGATGTTTATTGTGAAACCTTTGTGAAACTGAAACAATTTAACACTTTATATTAAGATGCCCTATGTATGAGCATGGGCTCTATCAGTGGTAGAGCCCATGGTATGAGCCATATAGGCGTAACATATTTGAAGCCCTTGGCTGTCGTGGTCAGTCAAGCCAAGTAAGTAAGTCAACATTCGAAAATAAAAATCTCAAAAATCGTACATCTTTGATTTCCAAAATAATTTGTGAGGTGGTTATTTAGATGATAATACACATTTTAACGCACTAATTTTGAGTACATCTCGAATCCATTCTCAACAAAGCGTTCTCGAAATAAGTATTCGAAATGTTTGAGTTCGGGATGATAAAAGTACGCTAAGATATACCGCTCCTTAACAAACTCCTTCAGGAACAAGATATAGAATCAAATGCATATTCTTCCTATTTATTCCCTGACACATGCCAATGAATGTTGCATAAGTAAATATCTCCGTTTTAAAAAATTTTGAAAGCGTTGTTCTCTACAGGTGCCATTTTTCATAATTGAAAAACAAAATTAAACAATTTGCATTTCTAAATTGATAAGTTTCTTGGAATACAACTTAAAGTGTGCGCCTGACCCGGCTACGTATGGCACAGAGTTTATACTGGCGGATTAGACTAGTTCATTTTTTATATGTGTGTGAAAGCTTTCTCTTATTTGCGTTTTTTCGTTTAGTACGGTTTTGTTATAATTGCCGAGGTCATATAACCGGGATAAAACAATGATTATCGTTGACTGCCCACACAAAAACATACGTTGAGTGAACAGTGTTATTACAAACAACAGGCTTTAGAATACAAAGCGTAGTGTGATAATAAGCTGCACACTACCACTGCTGCATGTACATATTACTAATTTACTAGGGCTCCCAAAGAGTGGATAGAGAGGTTGTGTTTGTCACTTTAAAATTTTACATTTCAAAATTGTCATTTTACATGTCATAATTTGTTGGTTTCATTCGTTTAGCCAATCAAAACATTGTTAAACAATAAATTGTCTGTTACGTACAATCAATTTTGTTCAGTTTTGATTAGTTGTCAGAATAAAGTTGCGTTCATCTGAATCCATGTATCAAAACAAAAATCCTATTTTCACTTCAAAATACTTCAGTGAGATGAAGGCTCGGAATTGTCACATGCAATAACTTATTGTCGTATTCGTTATTTTATCTTCTCGATAGTAGCATTTAGTCGCACATTTGATGCCAGGTCACCTTGTCGCGTACCTCTTGGGGAACCCCAAATTTATGTGTGTACTCATGGAAGTAAATTCCCCGGTGTAGCCGAGAGCCACAAACTTTTCAACAGGTTCGAAATGACCAATTTCTCTCATATATACTCTAAATATTTTATTATTTAGCACCTACAAAGTATTGCTAATAACCATATGTAATTTCAATAAGGAAACTTATCTGGCTACATATAAATTCAATATCAACACTAGCTGTTCTCTCAACACGTCCTGGCTTACCTTGTGGTGACAAACCCTGGATTTTCGCTATTTATAGTTTATCAACACCTGGACGCATGCGCATTTTATACTTTATCGGGCACTTTAACTGTAAACGATTTAAGTCATTAATAATATTTCCCTTAGTGAACCCAAGGGCGTTACAATACCCGGGAAATTATCGGTTCGTGCAGTACTTGTTTGTGATAGCGCCCTCTGTAGGTCACTGTGCTTATAGCCTACAGTAATACGGGGTAGGATATCGGGAATTCGGTCAGTTTCTATCCGTCGATTTCGCTATGAATTGAAGCAAGTGTGACCACTTTATCCACTTAAACAATTTGATAATTGATTAAATCTTTAAACAAAATCGATAAACACGTTATACACTTCCTATCTCCTTAGAAATTAGCATGTATTTATGGATTGTGTTTTCGAACAAGGCTCGACCCATACCAATAGGGAAATCCTTATGCTAATTAGTATGACGTCATATTTTCCTGGGGAATCCTAGATTTCAAAGCCTCAGTCTGTTATTGTGTCAAATGTAAACGCTCTTTTGCAGACAGAAAATTGACAGATTAGCTTTTAACTTTCAGCTTTGATGTTTAAATATTCTGTATTTCTACCGGACTTCTTGCTGAATATCATATAATGTTATAACTTGATTTGGACAATTGCCTGATTGATCATTCTGAAATTTTGATTGTGATTCATGATTGATTGGCAAGAAAAATAATTCCTATTGTTTTCCAGCGAAGTCAAAATGTTACAGCATGAGTTATAATGTCGAGTTTGCATCATGTTAAATTCTGCTAGTGATTAGAAGTCCATGCACAAGCATACACATAAGAGACAAACACACCCAGGCTCCAGGCCGTGGATGGAAATATAAAACTATTTAAGGCACAAACTGGTATTAATAGACCGATATGTAGTGTCTGCCATGTATTGAAGGTAAACCAATCTACATTATTAATGTTTCTTCTACCAATACATGGATTGTGCAATAGAAAAGCAATGGCACAATCAAAAATATGCATATCAATCGTGAATATCTCTCGGTTCAAAGCTTATTTCCAACAGAATCGTGTCAAAATATGTGTCTGAGTAACAGTTATACATTATAAGATCGCAAACTCTTACCAATTATCAGCCGAATGGCTCATTTTCAACGAAATGTCCTTAAGACAACAGCCCTGGGTCGCGCCTGAGACCAAAAACTACTTCAAATAGCCCTCCCCTAATTATATTGGATAATCACATTTATGCGTGCGCGCGCAGCTCATCCACTGAACGAAACGCCACTTCCCGCTGAAATCACCGGGTATTGATCTTTCCCTTGGTGAACCCATGCTGAATAGACAGTAACTGGGTCAATGTTTTGTGTTCAACCTTGTTTTCATGACTTTTAAACATGAGTCGACGATTATGTAGGAAATTTCATTTTCAAATGTAAGCGTGTCAACTCCTGTTTTTGCACAATAATTAGCCCTTTATAATGATAGATCGCCAAAATATGCATGTACCTCTCAATAAGGCGATATGTTTTTCAATTTATAGATGTAAACTATAAACTCAAACAAAAATTGAAACCACCCGCTTTATTATTTTGATTACACAAGACGAAATTTCCACTCCCGGGGAGCACTTTGGTATCACTTTGAAGGAGGATTCTTGAAAAATCGCTCGAATTTTCACAAAAGGTTTCACTTAATTTTATTGCTTTGTTTAAGCCTCGACTTATATTATACTCAAATCCGATACCATAATTAGGAATCAAAATGAAACATTCAATTCACCAAGTTAAATAATAAACCGTTTCGAGAATTGATGATTTGAGTTAATTGTGGATATTTATATAAATGTAAGTTGGCATGTATTCGACAGTTAATGTACACACATGATGTATGCATCAACGTGTGACTTAAATATCAATTCGTGACTATCACATTTGGCTTCCAAAAATTAAATTGGAAATTACAGTGGTAGGAGATTAACGAAAACGTCAATCACATCCAAATATCCGTACGACGTCAGGTATTAACAAAACACTTTTCGTGCATTTCGAACATGGCAAGGTTCTGTTATCCAGCAATGTGCATTTCAAAAGAAAAAATTCACAAATCTCAACAAATTTTATTGAGTAGGATATTACATTCGAAATCACAACTTTCAAATTATTTTTTTTAACCAAGAATTGTAAGAACTTGAAACATGTTGTGAGTTTTTCAAACGGCATATCCTCATTCACGTTCTTTGACAAGGATGAATCCATTTGAAAACATGGATTTTCTTGATTATTCTTCAAAACTACCCTTGAAATATAAGTATGTAGGATATTACAGTGTAAATTGACACGCATTTGTTTGCCCGATATCCTGAACAAATAAATGCAGAACCGTCTTGTAATATTTGAAAACCAAAAGTTCATTCTGTATGTAAACAAGAAAAAATACATTTATGGTTGGTTCATAATGAAAAATGACGAGTAACATATATCTTTTGAAGTAGGGGTATACAGGGACACAGTGGAAAATCAGAAATTTAGGTCATATCCCAAAGATTGCTTCACCAATATGTAACAGATCATCAAAATTATCATTTACACGTTTGCTGATAGGTTTATTGAAAATAATTAACCAGAGGTTTACTTCAATTGTGGCACCATTCTTAGTAAATATTGATGAACATACGAATATCGAATGTTGACTAAGTTACTTGTCTTGACCGGGTGACAGTATGAATGTTATTATGAAGAAAATTTTAGGTGTTTCAGATGTTTCATGTGAGACGTTAATAATTGTATCATCAGTACAGAAAATGTACAATCACAGAGCCAACCTATTGGCTCTGCTTGACACATCATTTCTCTATCACTTTATTTTTATGTATTCCAAAAAACAACTAGTTATCACATAATTTAATCTTATCCTTGTATATTATATTTTATATGTAAACTATATTTATACTAAAATGTATTCTCTCATATAAATGAGGCAATAAATATACAATACAATTTAGGCGATCTGTCTGCATGGGGTGTATTATGGTACAATTCAAAACAAAAAGGAAGAACTGCCACAGAAAAGTTAATTGAACATGTCTTCAATGCCATGTTCCATCAACGTCAGTAGTTAACTGAGGTCATCAACGGGGTACAAAACCTCACATACTCACCCTTTTTAACAATTTCCGATCTCGATCTGACTCTGAATAATTTCCAGGTTTTATTCAAGACTTCTGAGGTGGCAGAAAACTCTATAGGATCTCCATCATATAAGAATGATAATGTCCTATCTGTAAAATTTCCCTGTTTCATCGCTTCCCTTTTGCATCTATTACATTTTGAGGAATCACAGAATTTTACAAAACTGATAACAAAAATAAAGAAAATGCTGCATCTGAACAAATGCATGATTTCCTTTCCAGCCTTTTTTCTATGTATGTCTTACGCAATGCTAGTACGTAATGCGACACATGAGATGTTGATACTGATATTGTTGAGATAAATTGTTAAAGGGCCGTTAAAGTGTAACAGAAATTGTATAGAGTGTCTATGCAAGTGTCTTTTGTCATGCAGAGACTCATAAGACCAACATATATTTGACCCATTTAGGTATAAGCACTGACGGATCTGGGGGGATCTTATAGGCCCAGAAAAAAAATGTGGGCTCAAAAATATTTTGGGCCAAAAAAGCCTGAAGGCCCCTAAAAGTGGGCCTTTTTGCTTTTTGGTCATTACTGGGCCTTCTAAGGCCTTATTTTTTAATTTCAGGCCAAATTTTGAAGAAAATTGGCCTCAAAAGTTCAAAATTTGGGCCCACTTTTGGGATTTAGGGGCCCAAGTTTTTAAGGGCCCAAGTTTTTTTCTCTGACCTGAAATTTGCCCCCCCCCCCTTGTTGGTTCCCAGATCCGCCCCTGAGGGGAAAGATATATAGGAGTGCTACACTAATGCCAATCTCCGAGCCTTTCGTTCAGTGCAATCCGTACCTCCTTTACTTACCTCACGCATTCCCGCGAAATTAACCCTTCTAAATATTTTGACCTCCTTCAAAAAATATATTTCTTTGCGTTTGCGACTGATTTTATTCGTTATATTTTATAAAATGTTTATTTCTAAAGTAGTAAGAAGCTGGATATCATATTTAACCAGTAAAACGTATTGTTACTGCTGAAACAAATGTCGGCGTTTAGTACTAAATTGTAATGGGAAACATGAGAAGTTATACAGGGTGGGCCAAAAACACCAATACCCAAGTTTAAAGATGAATGATTCATATGATATATGTTAAACCATGCCATGAATTAAATTTCATTTTAAAGATAAATCAAATCCTAACAAACTGACACCATCCAATTGAAAATCCTCTGTTTTCCCGTGGAGTTAGAGACTAAAATTGACACCAGGGGTGCCGTGAGCGAACAAATATCAAAAAATGAAAATTCCCAAATTTCCCTCCATATTGCAGTCACAGCTGCACTCAATATGCGTGACTGAATCATCATAAATTCATTTAAGAGTAATACACAATTGATGATTAATTAAAAAGTATTTTTGCTGAAATTTGCAATATAATTGTATAAATGTAGCTCTTTTGAAGGTGCCAAAGTTCAAACTTCCCTCCATTCTCCACAATTGGGAAATCCGCAGTGAATAATTTTTTGGTCGCTCATGACACGCCTGGTGTCAATTTTAGTCTCTAACTCCTCAAGAAAACAATGGTTTTTCAATCAGATGGTGTTATATTGTTAGGAAATGATTTATCTTTAAGATGATATACAATACGCGGCATGGTTTAATGTTATATCATCTGATATTCATCCTTAAACTTGGGTATTGTTTTTTTTGGCCCACCCTATAATACTGTAATCGTTGAGAAAAATTGTTAAAGTCTTACAGAAATCATAGAGTGTGCAAGTGTCTGTAGCCATGAAGAGACTAATATGACGAACCAATATTTGATCAATTTAGGTATGAGAGGACAACTAGAAAAATTCCATACTGAAGAATTAAAGCCGAAGGACTCAAAGAATTGTAAATGTTTTAAACCACACGTCTTGTTTGAAGACTTTGAATTAGGGTGGCAGCCCGAGCTAAAACTCTATGGATACAAGACATGCCTGCATTAAATCATCCACAATTCATTGCATGAGTCACTAGCTTTTTTAACACTGCAAAAGATTTTGTAAATAATATGTTGAACGACATTCACTATTCGTTTATGTGATCACAAGAAGTGGCGACATATTGCTATAATCTATGGTAACTTTTCAGCGATTGGTGTTTTGGTACAACAGATCATTGATTCATTGACTTATTTGACTAGAATGTTCGACAGAAATGCATTCTACTTGACACCAGACTATTCATATCAGTAATTTGACGTGGATTAGTGGTTGGCGTCGTGCCGTGGTCAAAACTGCTGAAGCAAAAAGCATTGGGGCAATATTTGAACATGGACATCACAAAATTTATACATTTTTAAGAAAAACATTTTTCACATTATTTATAGTATTAAACGGGAATAATTTGTAACAGTATTTTGTTGTATTTAGTGATTTAGTATTTAGTACTGAAAATATATGTTTAAAAATGTTCATCCCTTTTAGATGGACTCATCTGAAGTGAACTCCTTGGTCAACGTAGCCATTTTTCTTAACCACTTTAATTTGAGAATCAAAATGCATCAATTGAAACAGAATATCGATATAAAGATAAATGTGATGTATAGTATACGCAACAGTAACCAAACGCTTTATTGAATTTATAGTATGTATACGACATCATATTAGATCATTTTGAGTAAGATATCATGTCCTTGTATCCTAGCGTCGGCTTTGTGGATGGATGTTGACCCTTTGATACGCTTATGGACTTCGAGATTGTACATTCATTCTGTCTCACATCATTTGAGACTGAATGCCCTATATGCTAGTACATAACAACTGAGCAACTAATTTTGATGTTACTTTTGGTTATAAATTCGAAACAATAGGGAGAGGGGACAGCACAGGAAAATTAAACTATTTCAACAGTTCAAGATGCTGTCTGATTAATTCTGAGCACTTTTAATGTGTTTGAGTAAATGAATGCTTTAGTTTTTGGGATGGGGTGCCAGAAACCTTTATGATTATATCACTTGGTAATTTCTGGGAACTTTTAATAAAAGTGTTTAAAATTAACAAATGCAACTTCCAAACTTACCAATTGTTTTATGGGGGGATGTAAGGAGTGGTCCACTCCCCTAGAAAATTTTACACTTTTGAGATGCTATTTGGTGCTCTCTGGGCACTTTCAACGTGTATGAGTCAATAAATTTTTTTTGGAAGGTGTCAAAGAGGATGAGAGGGTGAGGTCGGTTGGGGGTGCCAGAGGGGGAGCAAGATGTTGTCCCCCCAGAAACATTGACCATATCAAGGTGCTATTTGATGATGTCTGGCCACTTTAAAAATGCCTGAGACAATACATGAAATTCAGAATTTTTCAATTGTTTTGTTGGGGATGTGAGGGGTGGCCAACTCTTCTAGAAAATTTTACAATTTTAAGATGATATTTTGTGTTTTCTGGACACTTTCAAGTGTTTTAATCAATAGAGCGAGGGGACAGCACAGGAAAATTAAACTATTTCAAGATGCTGTCTGATTAATTCTAAGCACTTTTAATGTGTTTGAGTAAATGGATGCTTTAGATTTTGGGGTGGGGTGCCAGAAACCTTTATGATTATATCACTTGGTAATTTCTGGGAACTTTTAATTAAAGTGTTTAAAATTAACAAATGCAACTTCCAAACTTACCAATTGTTTTATGGGGGGATGTAAGGAGTGGTCCACTCCCCTAGAAAATCTTACACTTTTGAGATGCTATTTGGTGCTCTCTGGGCACTTTCAACGTGTATGAGTCAATAATTTTTTTTTGGAACGTGTCAAAGAGGAAGAGAGGGTGAGGTCGGTTGGGGGTGCCAGAGGGGGAGCAAGATGTTGTCCCCCCAGAAACATTGACCATATCAAGGTGCTATTTGATGATGTCTGGCCACTTTAAAAATGTCTGAGACAATACATGAAATTCAGAATTTTTCAATTGTTTTGTTGGGGATGTGAGGGGTGGCCAACTCTTCTAGAAAATTTTACAATTTTAAGATGATATTTTGTGTTTTCTGGACACTTTCAAGTGTTTTAATCAATAGAGCGAGGGGACAGCACAGGAAAATTAAACTATTTCAAGATGCTGTCTGATTAATTCTAAGCACTTTTAATGTGTTTGAGTAAATGGATGCTTTAGATTTTGGGGTGGGGTGCCAGAAACCTTTATGATTATGTCACTTGGTGATTTCTGGGAACTTTTAATTAAAGTGTTTAAAATTAACAAATGCAACTTCCAAACTTACCAATTGTTTTATGGGGGGATGTAAGGAGTGGTCCACTCCCCTAGAAAACTTTACACTTTTGAGATGCTATTTGGTGCTTTCTGGGCACTTTCAAATTAAAGTGTATGCGTCAATAAAGAATGTGATTTATTTTTCAAATTTTTGGAAGGTGTCAAAGAGGATGAGAGGGTGAGGTGGGGTGGGGTGCCAGAGGGAGAGCAAGGAAGAGGTTGTCCTCCAGAAACAATGACCATATCAAGGTGCTATTTGATGATGTCTGGCCACTTTAAAAATGTCTGAGACAATACATGAAATTCAGAATTTTCAATTGTTTTGTTGGGGATGTGAGGGGTGGCCAACTCTTCTAGAAAATTTTACAATTTTAAGATGATATTTTGTGTTTTCTGGGCGGGGGCGCGGTCGCACCTATCTAACGGCCCTGATCAAGGGGTTATATTTAAATATTATTTTTATATAATAAAACTTAAATGCAACATGCACATTATCAGATATGGTATAACTTTAAAGAAGAGACGTGCCATACATTAGAATGGATTCGGTGTGAGTAACGTATCCTCAATAAACAACAATATGTATTTTATGGCATATAATAGTGATCCATAATCCATTGATTGTTGACTTATTTGAATTGGTACATTAAGTAAGCCAATACAAAACATTCCACGGTATCAAATTAATTCATAGTCTTAACTTTTCATTACCATACTGAAATCAGTGTACTCATTTATCTAAAAATACGCAGTTATGGCGTCACAATCAATATGCAAATGAGTTAATTTGCAGATATATAATTTAAAAAATGTAAGTTTTTATTCTCTTTAATTTGTTTCATCAAAATCGGAGCAATATTAGCCAAGTTATATTATGAATAACATTTTTTTTCTTATCAACACAATATTTTCATGGTAACTATGGAAACGGGCGTGTTAGACA